GTATGGCTATTTTCCATTATGGATATTTAAGATAGTTGGATGCTTTTTATAGGCTTTTGTAATTTTTAGATAAGCATGTATTTCTTTTTCCCATCTCTTCTCAGTAACTTTATAGGGTTAGGGAAATAATTGAGAAGTAAAAATAGTTTTTATACTGAACAATATTTTATTTATATTCTACATATAGTTATATTTTTAAACCAAGCTTTAAGCAGGTAGGCATTTTAAAACTCAAAGCTTAGAAAAATTCAGTGTTACTTGGGGTCAGGAAGCAACAGGGTTCCCCACTATGAACCCAACCTTGGTGTGGAGAGACAGGGGATGTGGAGAAGAATTCCTAAACAGGAAGACCTCAATATCAGAGTGATTATCTTAATAGTTTTTAACTGTTACTCACAGTTAGGAAATGTGCTGGTAATCCAATTTAGATTTCTCCTAAAAAGAAAAAAAAATTGAGGGGTATTGAGATTTTTTTTGAAACTGAAAATACATTTCATTTAAAAAAAAAAACTTGTTAGTGTGCTGTAGCTTTACCATAATCTGTTGTATCTGCAAGCTGAATAGTTTCTTCCATACCCTTCAAATCTGTATGCTGCCTGTTAATAAACATGCAAATTGAAGTGTACTACAAGCCCGGTAAGTTTTCTCTTCCAATCCATCTTGTTTACATTACATTACTTAGGTATAGGGAAGATTTTATGTTGGTATACACAGTTAAAATGTCTCAAATGAATGCTTTTTTCTTAATTAAATGTTTTTATTAAGGTATTTTTTGTGATTGATATGATTATGAGACTTAAACTGAGATTGGCAATAGTGCTGTATTAGAAAGGTGCATTTTACTTTGTTAAACTTTTAAGGAACTGTGGATACAGGTAAGTCTCGTTGGAATTTATGAATCAGTTATTGAACCTTAGAACTGGGAAATTAAAAAAATAACTGAATTATATCATACATTCTTTTTTTTCATGTAAGAGGAATACTTGTAAATCCTATATGTGATACATTACTTATCGTCAAATTTGCTGTTCAGAATGCAGTTTTTAAAAATCTCTAAAATAAAGATTCTGTATATTGTGCGTATATGGAGATTTCCCCCAATTTTCATAATTGCATATGACTAACTTCCATTATTAACTTGTACAGTGGAAATGAGCCTGTATTTTGGTGCCTGCAAACATTGGAAGCATATTCTGAAGTGTTGGCTCCTCATAGTAGCAATTTGAAATGGTATGGCACATACACTTTCACTATTGCAATCGTTTGCTTTTTTTTTTAAATGAAAACAAAGAACCTTTCATCAGTTTTTTAAAAAAACAGTGAACTTTGATAAATGGAGGAAAATTGGTAGAGGTTATGGTCCAATTCTCTGGGGAAGCTAGATTGTGCAGTGGATAGAATGCTGGGCCTGGAGTCATTCATTTTTCTGAGTTAAAATCGAGCTTCAAACACTTACTAACTGTGTGACTCTAGGCAAGTCACTTAACCTTGTGTGCCTCAATTTCTTCATCTGTAAAATGAGCTGGAAAGGGAAATAGCAAACCACTCCACTATTTTTGCCAAGGAAACCCCAAATGTGGTCACAAAGAATTGGCCGCGACTGAAAATGACTGAACAACAGTGGTCCAATTCTCTGAATGGTATTTCTATGTAGAAATTCTACAAAAGAATCCCACAAAACAGAGTACAGAGATTCCACCTTAAAATTGTAATTCATTGTATATAAACACAATCCACACTTTTCATATTTATAATATTAGGATAAAGAATTAGGTGTAACTACTTTTCTTGTTTCCCCTAGTTGACTATGTAATTTTATTCCCTACAAGGCAATTAGTAACTCAAAAATAGACTTTAATGTTTAGAATGAATGTCATAATTCTTACATTATCTTTTCTGTTCACTGCAGTTTAGGACATAAACTTTTTAGTAGAATTGTATTCTCCTGACTTTAATAAAAGCTAAATAGGGCTTTAAAACATTATTATGCGAGGTTTGAGGCATATAGATAAGTTAAGAGACAGCATGGTAGAATGGAGAGAAAAGGACTCTGAGCCAGGAAGACCTGAGTTCAGGTCCCACATCTGCCCCATACTGGCCATGTCATCCTGCTGGACAAGTTTCTTAATTTCTCAGTGTTCCCAGGCAACTCTCTAAGACTGTAATTTGCCAAGAAAGTGGTGAATGTGAGCTCCTTGAAGATAGGAACAGATGGTATTTTTGCCTTCATCTTTATCCTCAGTGCTCTGCATAGTGCCTGGCACATAGTAAGCATGTAATAAGTGTTTCTTAACTGACTGACCTGTGTTGGTAGAAAAAGTTCTTTTCAGGTCTAGTCCCTCTGCTAGATAAATATTTAGTCTAATAATAGCTCACATTCATATATACTTTAACTTATAAAGTACTTTACCATTGGAAAATAGCTAATGTATATTTGATATTAGTAGTTTCATATATACTTTAAATATCACTTGAATTGAAAGAATTTTATAAATTGAGGAGGGACACAATCTCACAGCCAGAGTGCTACCTTCTATATAAAACTTTTCCCGATCCCCCCCCCCCAGTTATTAGTACTCCTTTTTGAAGCTTATTTTCTCTATCCTTTTGTATTTATTTGCTTGTGTATGTAGTATGCCCCCCCTCCCAGTGGAATGTAAGCTCCTTTAGGGCAAAGACTGTTTCATTTTTTTCTGTGGCTAGCATTGTGCCTGGCACATAATCAGAATTGCATAGGTGTTCTTTAGATTGAATTAATCTTTTTTATCATTGACTTTGATTACAGATTTCATAATCTTCCTAATTTTACCAGCTGATAAATGTAGACTTAAAATTCTAAATATGCCAATATATTTTTGATACTCCTGTTTAAAGGAAGATTTGAATATCCTAAATTCTTTGTTGATGCTACCTGCCAACTCAAAGGGAGAGGAAAAGGGACTTGGCAACTATTTTAGCCTTGCAAATAAATTCACAAAGTTTACTGGCCCATAAAATTTTCTGTTACTCTAACCTCTTCACTGAAGCTATATAAGTTACATAATAAACATTTGTTTTATGTACATACTCATCTGCTAAAAACTCACTATTTGTCCTGGGCAAGTAAGTATTTGCAAGGTTGAATTTAATCATCCTAAAAGTTTGATTTGCAATAATCTGGTACCTTATTTATGCATGCTCTTTGCTTTGCAAAAGAATGCAGACTTATTTCTTTAACTTTTAAAAGTTTTTTAATTAGGCTGAACTTTCCATTTGAAGTTTGTTATATCTATTTCTTTTTTCTAATGTGTTCTTAGTAATGCCTTTTATACAATGCTTTAATAATGTCTTTTTGTTAAATAATATTGCCTTATAGATTTTAGAATTAGGAATTGTATGGAAATTTGGGGGGAGGTATTTTGGATTGTTTAGCAGTTTAACTGAAGGATTTTTGTTCTTGGTCATCAATAAATTCTTCTTACCTTATAGCTTGTTATCATTTAATTTATATTGACCTTATTTTTTTTCAAATATTGATGTCTGAATAGTATGTGTCAAACATTCACTGCTTGCTTACCTGTGCCTATGCCACATGCTGCATCAGATTTTCTAAATGTTTTTTTCTATTCCTATCATATCTTGTAAATAATTTTACTAACAAATTTATTTTTTTTTTACATTTGTTTTCCAAGCTTGTTTTTAGTCTATTGAAATGCATATTGCATTAATAGATTGTTTGGGGGCTACTATAAGATTGCTTTACAATCATGTTCTATAAAAATTTAAATTATGATTTGGTTTTTTTTTCACATTTAACCAATATGTTTAACTTAGTAAAATAATAGATCCAAGGAACATATGATTGTTCCTATCTATTTTTAAATATAAACACTATTCTGAGAAATCAAGAGGGAGGTAGTAGATATTAAGAAACTAATGCTGAGAGAATTTGACATTCTCACAGTTGGATTTAGTTTGAATTTCCTTACTTTCAGTTCATTGCTTTTATAAGCGTAGTAGATTGAGAACTAGAAGGAACTACAGAGGTTATCATTTTATAGAAATAGAAACAGATGACCAGAGAGATGACATGGCTTGTCCAATGTCACATAGATAATAGTAGAGATAGGATTTGAATCCAGCTTCTATGGCTCCAGATCCACTATTTTCTACTCTGTTAGCTCTTCAACCAGTAGGCTAATGTTTTTTAAAGTACAATCCTCTTGAGTTTTTGGCATTCTCCGGCCACTAAATTTTTCATTCCAGCCATTAGTCCATTGCTTAAACAGTTCTGAAAATTTCTTCTGAACAGATTTTTTTTTCTATACCATTTTTTGTTGATTCTATAGAATATTGCTTAAGAACAGTGTAGTGTAATGGATAAAGACCTGGCTTCAGAACCAGGAAGACCAGATTTCAAGATTTACTTGCCTTTGACACATAACATCTGTGTGTTATTTTGTCTGGGCAAAGGGGTCTGGGCAACTCAGAGATTATAAACTTCAGAGAAGGTGATCTTCATTAGTCAAGAGAATATTTTTATCCAAGGAGTTCTATATAATAGCTAGATCACAGCTCCAGTTCTTCTCCCTTTAGAGGATTAATTAACTTTAAAATACTAGGAAATCCACTAGTAGTAATTATTCTGAATCTGGGCAAGATTAATATTCATTCTTGAGTTACAAGTTATTTTTCAATTTAGTTTAAAACTATTTCTTAATAGTATTTTTAGTAGATGGGCTAAGTTTAACTTTTTAAAAGAAACAACATTTAAGAATAGGAAATTTTATTTAAATAGCATTATGCATTAACAATTATTAAAATGATTCCTCTTGTTCTTTTCTCATTTTGTCATAAATTAGAACCTTTAAGAGTATATCCACTTATATTAGTGCATGAATAATCGATAGTGTATGAAATCTAAGCATGTGCTTATTACTAAATCACATTTTCCTTACTTTTTATTCATAAAAATGCTGGTTCCATTAGTGTATAGTCCATTCTCTTTTTTTATTTTGTAGATCAGCCAAAATGGGAAGTACTGGATTCTGCTCTCCTCCAAGAAGAGTCAGTGGGACTGGTTAAGATCAGTATCTGAGGATTTTGCCAGCAATCATCAGGTGTGCATTGAGCAAAACCATTGTAATTCTCTTTTATGTATGTATCTAAGATGTAGCTTAATGTCATCAGCTTAATGTATGTATTTATTGTTTAATATATGCAGTTATTATTAGATGTTGAACCATATGTTTATCCTACAGTTATGAAAGCACCAAAAAAATTATACTTTGAATTTTGGTATTCTGTTAAGTACAGATAGGTGTTATTATTCATAAAATATTTTCAGCTGGTCTTAGAAAACTGTAATATTTGAGCATCGGTGTTGAAATCATTCTTCATTGCTCAGTATGTACATCCAGGAGTAAAATTTCTAACTCTTTTAAGGAATAACACTTAAAACCAAAAGGTGAACCATTGTCTAAAAGCATCAAGTATATATTTGTACATGTTTCCTCAATTGCACCTTTAATTTTTCTTCAGTGCATTTCACTAACTTAAAATTCGTTCTAATTAGTCCAAACCAAAATTTTATTTGTTATGGTTAGGTCACATAATATGGCAAATATAGCCAATTTCTAAAAAAACCTTTGACTATTATATGTAGCAGCTTAGGGAAATGGCATGTATCATGAGTTGTTTTCTTTTAAGTAGAAAAAAAATTAGTGCCATTTGTTTTATAGGTACCCAAAAATATTATGTTATTGATAGGAAATAGATAATCAGACTAATATGTCCTTGGGATTCTGACTTGGCAGAAATACTTGGCAACATTCTACAAAGGTATAACTATCTGGTGCAGCTAATTAAAGTTATTCGTTTAGGAATTCCTGAGGAATACATAGGAACTCGAATAGAGAAGATTAAAGAAAAGAATTTTTGAAGATCCTTAAGGCTAAGAAAATCTTGAAAAAGAACATAAATATAGCATGTCAATAATTAGCAATGTCAGTAGCAATGATTCCTATATATGCATACTCAAGGAAAGATGCTACAAAGCACTGTCTCAATTATCTGGATACTAATGAGTTATTCAATTTAAATTTTTGGTGTACATTTATGTGATACGCTTGGATGAATTGCTTGGTGTCCTACCTTTTTATTTGTGTTTTCACAATCTAGATGTTAAAATACAGTAAGGCCAGTCCACTATGATGTCATTTTTACTGCTCAGAGCTCTATGTTCTCTGGATCCATTTGTGTCCTGAGAAAACAACATGACTACAGATTGGGCCTCAGTTTCCTTAACTGTAAAATGAGGGCATTAGATTAGATGTCCTCTGAAGTCCTTTTGAACTATATATCTGTGAGCCAAGTAATTCCAGTAGATAATTTGTAAGCAAGAATTTTATCCCATAACAACAGTGTCATAAAGGATTTTTTTTTCTGTTTAATACCTTGAAAAAAGCAAATTGAATCCAAAATCGGCAACAATACATGCATTCATCTGTGTTCAGTTTTTTACTTCAGAAATTGGCCTTTTTTAATAGAGATACCAGGTTAAGTTATTTCTGTATGTACTCTAATGAATTGAAGAAACATTGTCTTTTGAACACTGTAGGACAACAATTCATCATTACATATTTACCAAGTACTTGATATTGGCAAGCTGTTCACTTTTTCAGAATTAGTTTTTCCAAGCTGTGTATTACTTTATCTAACATTTAAGAATTTCTTGAAGATGGATGTTTATGAAGCTCTTTTAAGATCTGGTGTTTTTTTTTTAAACCACATACTTTACAATGCATTATATACATCTTCCCAGTATAGGTTATAAATTCAGTTACTCTGACCCACAGACATTTTTGCCAGCTTGAATCACCTCATATAGTGAGTAGTTCAGTTTTACTGTTTTTTAGGTGTTCTTGCGCAGACATTGTGCCCCAAGCAAGGTCTTTGATCCTTCCAAAATAATGACAAGGAGCCATGATCCTGACCTAATTTAAATTTCACGAGATTTTACCATTTCAAGATGCAGACTTGTTACGAAGATAAGACATTTCCAGTCTTGAACTCAGAAAGCCTATTGGGTGTGATAATACTGGTAAGAGGAGTAAATTGTTCATTTTGGGGGAGTACATTAACTCTTTCAGGCCTTCAGTGTCCTTTAAGTAAATAGCCTCTTCCAGTGTGCCAAATGATACATGAGAGTTTTTACCTAGCCTTTACCTATTTTCTTATCATACAGTAGTCTTGAAATAGTATTAAGTAGCACTGAGGGAAATGCAGGCATGAAATTTTTTATTGAAATATTTGTTTTTATTCAGATATATGTACTCCTAATCCCTTGTTAAAAAAAATGAAGCTGACATAATACAGCTCTTCATATTAATTTTGTGTGGATATCTCCTATGATTTCCCTGAAACACTATTATTATCCCAGAAGTAAAGTTCATTAGGCAGAGTTTCAAGGTACATGTGGAACTGTTCATCCTGAGCAATGCATTTATATATACTTTTAAAAATATGAAGAAATCTACAGATATTACATTAGACCAGCTGAATCCAGTTTTATGGGTTTTTTTTAATTCAGAAGCATCACATAGCAAGTAAACTTTTTTTAAAAAAATAAATTAAGTTTAGTTACAAACTAGTTGTTTCTTATTTTTTTTTCCAGTCCCCTTTTGCTTTCTTTTACGACCACATGAAACTTGAGAAGCCATCTAAAGCTAAATCATTTAGTGGAGTTGGGCAGTTCCCAAGTGTCCAACAAGAAGGCCTGGTTTAGGCTGCGATGGCCACTGTCATTCCTGGTGATTTGTCAGAAGTAAGAGATACCCAGAAAGTCCCTTCAGGGAAACGTAAGCGTGGTGAAACCAAACCAAGAAAAAACTTTCCTTGCCAACTGTGTGACAAGGCCTTTAACAGTGTTGAGAAATTAAAGGTTCATTCATACTCTCACACAGGAGAGAGGCCCTACAAGTGCACGCAACAAGACTGCACCAAGGCCTTTGTTTCTAAGTACAAATTACTAAGGTATTAAACTCTCTTTATCTTTCAGATTATATTTTCTATTATGTTGGCCATTTTAGGCCCTTGTAAAAGTATTTATTTGTGTACACATTCTTCAGCTGATTTGCAGAGAGGAAATGTTAAGTAAATTAGATTTTGGATTGTTTTTAGAGTTCCAAATTGCATTACTTTATATGTTAATGTCTTTGGGTTTTTTTAATAAAAAGCTTAATAAGAATAGAATTTCCATTTGTACAAGGAATTGCTACAAGAAAAGTGTATGGACTGAGAATTTTTGGTTATGGACATTTACGTGAGTATGTTCAGTCTTACCTATTTGCCCTTGTTATGCTGGCTAAAAGCCAGCAAAAACTAAAATGACAACTTAAATGACTCAAATTTTGCTATAACTTAGGCATGTTCAGTTATCCTTATAGTATTGTAAGCTAAAAAGGTTCTGTTGGGAAGAAACTTTAGCATAGGATTTTAGCTTCCTTTTTAAAAGTGAGCACATGTAATTTTTGATCAAAATAATTACTTACAGAATATATCTGTGTTTAAAGGCATATGGCTACTCATTCTCCTGAGAAAACCCACAAGTGTAATTATTGTGAGAAAATGTTTCACCGAAAAGATCATCTAAAGAATCACCTACATACACACAACCCCAACAAAGAGGCGTTTAAGTGTGAAGAATGTGGCAAGAACTATAATACCAAGCTTGGGTTTAAACGTCACTTGGCCTTGCACGCTGCAACAAGTGGTGACCTAACCTGTAAGGTATGTTTGCAGACTTTTGAAAGCACAGGGGTGCTTTTGGAGCACCTCAAAACTCACGCAGGCAAGTCTTCTGGTGGGGTAAAAGAAAAAAAGCACCAGTGTGAACACTGTGATCGACGTTTCTATACCCGCAAAGACGTCCGTAGACATATGGTCGTGCACACTGGAAGAAAGGACTTCCTTTGTCAGTACTGTGCACAAAGATTTGGACGGAAAGATCATTTAACTCGTCATATGAAAAAGAGTCATAATCAAGAACTTTTGAAGGTCAAAACAGAACCAATGGACCTTCTAGATCCCTTTACCTGCAACGTTTCTGTGCCTATAAAAGACGAGCTGCTTCCAGTGATGTCTTTACCTTCCAGTGAACTAACGTCAAAGCCATTTACAAACACTTTGCAGTTAAACCTTTATAATACACAAATTCAATCCATGCAGAGTTCTGGACCAGCACACCAAATGGTCACCACATCATTACCTTTGGGAATGACATGCCCAATTGATATGGAATCAGTTCACCCTTCCCACCATCTGTCTTTGAAATATCCACTCAGTTCTACCTCATATGCAATTTCTATGCCTGAAAAAGAACAGCCATTAAAAGGGGAAATTGAGAGTTACTTAATGGAGTTACAAAGTGGTATGCCTTCCTCATCCCAGGATTCTCAAGCATCTTCATCTAAACTAGGCTTGGAGCCTCAAGTAGGACCCCTAGATGATGGATCTGGGGAACTGTCCTTATCCAAAAGTTCCATTTCCATTAGTGAACCTCTAAACCCATCATCTTTGGATTTTTCCCAGTTGTTCAATTTCATACCTGTAAATGGCCCACCCTATAACCCTTCTGTTTCGGTGGGGAATCTTGGACTGAGCTATTCCCAAGAGGAGACACATTCTTCTTTGGCTCAGCTTCCACCACAGACCCAGGATCCTCAAGATCCTGCAAACAGTATAGGCCTTGGTTCTCTGCACTCCCTGTCAGCAGCCTTCACAAGCAGTCTAAGCACAACCACCACCCTACCACGCTTTCACCAAGCTTTCCAATAGGACACAGAAAGCTGTCTTACTAAAAAAATTATTTGTAGAAATGCCTTAGGTGACCATTTTTAATGTAGTGCCTACATTAAGACATTATAAAATCTCTGCTTACTTTGTATAATACCAATTTCATTAAGCCAGTAAGAAATTGAAACTAACTTTTTTAATGAGCTCTGAAACCATTTGTGTTCAATTATGTTTACCTTGGTTAAGTCTCAAAGTGTTTTGTCGTCTTTTCACTGCCAATTGATGTGCTTTACAAAATAATTAATATAGGAAAGCCATTACTGTTAAACTTCAGTATATCCCCTGTTGAAAATTTTCAGACATTAATCCTTTCATTTTTATACAATAATAATGGCTCTACCCATTAATGTTTGGCTCAGTAAAAAAGACTTGCAACTAAATGTTAATTTACAAAATTTTGAGAGATACCTTGGAGACTTCCTAAATTGTTAAGTAGTTTTGATTTGATGCATAATTTAAATGCTTCTTATGAATTAAGAATCCAAATTTTTGTGGCAAAAAAATGTTTTTATTTGCTATCACAATTTCAGGTCAGTATGTTTTGAAGACTTGCTATTGTCTGGCTAAAATATTTGTGGTCTTTATTTAAAAACATTAATAATATTTTAAAACAGCCACTTAAACACAAAGCAACAGTATTCTCAAGAAATAATGCTCTTCTAGTCAATAAATATTTTCATTCTGACATGAAATAATACTGTTTCATGGCACTGGTAGGAAGAATGTAATGATTGACCTTAAAAAAAAGTATTCAGTAACAAATTAGTACCACGAATTATTCTGTCATTTTTCAACTTTCAGCTTAATTCTAAACTTGCTCTCTCTCATCTTAGTGATATTAAAATTAAGGTATATTGGAGTCTTCAGAGTCTATTCAAATCCGTAGACCTCATCAATCTTTTCCACCTTTCACAGCCAAAGTGTGGGTCAGGTCCAGCCAGAAACTTTACATTGATTGTCAATTAGCCAACAATCAGAGAGCCAGTGTAGATTTTCAAATGTCAGGTATGTTTGTAGTAGAGTGGATCTTCTCAGCTTGTATGGTTTGATTCTCCTGAGCAAGAAGATATTAATCACACCTGCTTAACCCTGGGAACTTGGTTAGGGACAATTTCCCCTGTTGCCAAGGTTTAAAACAGGACTCTTAGGAGTAAAGTAAAAGCATATTGCTTACACCACTTTTTACTTAATATGCTCTAATTCTTCCCCAGTCTTAAGAGCCCAAAGCAAAAAACAACAACAAATCTCAAACCTCCCACCCCCTCCCCAATCCCACGATAAAAGCGTATTTTCTACGTAGTGCTCATTTTTTTCTTGCCCTTTTCTTAGTAAGGAATTTGAAGTTAAGGTCATGGCAAGTACTTTGAGGCATTATACAAAGTTTTAAATGGCTAAACATATATACAGTAAAACCCCACTTTTACACTTCTCCAGAAAATGAGGTGGGGGAGAATACTACAAATAGGCAGAAAGTGACAAGACAAATTAAAGTTGAACAAACCGAATCCTAGTTAATATAGTATCAGTAACCATGGAATATTTTGCAATTACCAAGTCAAGTGCCTTGCCACCTTATAAGTGCTTAATAACTATATTAGTTGAATTAGATGGTCTTTACTCGTTCGGAGTAAATACCTTCTCAAAGGATAAAATGGTAAAGCTCTTTCCTCACTGTCAGCTGGAAATCACCCAGGAGACTATTTCTATAGGTAGCCTTATAAGTTTTATGGGATTGTGAGAGGAACTGTAGATCTCTTTTAAAAAAAAAAAAAAGAAAGAAAAAAATCGTGCCAAGCACTCAGCAGAATAGCACATGCTAGAACCTCAATTTTACAGGAGTAGTTTTACTCAAATGATGGGGATATTTCCCCAAGAATTTCTGAGAAATTTGTGCAAATTACTGAATCTAATGCAGTAGTAACATAGAATATTTAAAAAGTTGGGGCAGGGAGAAGAGAGGTGTAAATTGTGAGGAAATGTAAATTGTAATAATGTAAATAGGGGGTTTCACTGTATATATAGACTTCACAAAAACAAAATTGTTCCCATTTAAGGAGCTATGGCTCCTAATATTTTATCCTGCTCCTGTTTTTGTTTATCCTGGGAGCAATATACAGGTGTAGTTTTTTTATACTTATATTTAAATTTTATTACTAAAAATAACTTTTTTATTAAAAAAAAATTTCTTCCAAAGGCATTAAAATGAGATGTGTTAATAAGGAAAAACCTGTTTTGACATTCTCAAACTGTCGCTAAGCATTTGGTTTAGGTGACTGTTTGCTCTGAAAGTGGACGCTTAGCTCTGCTTCCCGACTGCTTCCTTTAGTTTCTATGAAACAGATTGCTAATCTTAAACTGTAGTTGAATGATTCGTGCTCAATATTGCTTTTCTCACCATGTTAAGAAGAAAAAAAAGTGGTGATAGAGCACAAATAAATAGAAAATATATATTTTTAAATAGCAACTATAAATTAAATAGCAAATGTGGAATCACTGCTTTATTCTAGCATTTGTTTTTAAACAGTAGGAGTGGATTAATGAATTGAGACATTGGCCTTTGTGGGCTGTATTTTTTTTTCCCTAATGTAAAGGGAGTACCAGGATTAATTGACTATAGACTTCTTTGGAGGTGGGGTATGGCAGTATGTTGATATTAACCCTAATTCTCCCCATATTTTGAAGACCTGTAATTCAAATACATGGAAGAACATCTATTAGGGCACCAGTATTAAGCTAGCATACTCTTAATATTCAGGTACTCACCAGTTTTGCCTATTGCAATCCCATAGGCTTGGAAATTATACTTCAAAATAGGAGAGAATCTAGCCTAATTAATTTAAAATTGGCTATAATAGTCGTTAACCGGTTTTGGAAGAGCAACTATGAAAATGCATGTTAGTTTATTTGAACTGCACAGCATTCTGACCAGGATATGACACAGGATTGGCTCTTACGTTCTGTCAGAAGATACTGTCATCTGTTGATGTTTGTTGCAGTTAGACTTGATTAACAGTAACATTGCCAATGCTGTTTTCATCTTCCATTAATCAGAATCATTATTATTAATATTTCTAGTAGTGCCTTAGCTTGGTTTTTAAAAAGGGGTAGAGGTGGTGATGGAAATTAATAAAAATATTTCGCTTGGAAGTTTGGACCCTCAGACAATATATTGAACCTCATTCAGTTAGAACTTCCATTTGTGACTGCACTTTTTGTCACTGAACACGGAAGTATTGCCTGTATGGAAGCAGATTGATACTGTAAGCAATATTAGTATATTATGAGTATTATATTTTTTATCTATTGGCCACTATTAAAATTTCCATTTTGAAGCCCTAATACCAAGTTCAGATTTTAAAATCGTAATATTTTCTATGTCCTGGCTGATCGTGCACCACTCTTTGTGCAACTCTTTAATTTCAAGTAGTGTTTCTTTCAAAACTATATATTTTTGTCTACTTGTTGCTTGTGCTTTATTATTAGTAAAATTGTGGAATATAGTGATATATTGTGTTAATTTGGACAGTAGCGGTTTTTAAAAACCATATACTGACTGAAACATGAGCCAGAGCTGAGTGCTTTATTTTAAGCTAATAATGAATGTTAAAGAGTACATATTTTCAGGATCATTTGTCTAGTGAAGCAATACTTGTATTATAGGCCAATATTTTAAAAAATAAAGCTTGGTCAACCTCTATGTTACACATATTACAAGATATAGCACTTTCAAAAAGAAAACCTAAACCTTTTAAGAAATTGTCTTATAGGTTATGCTTTTTTATTATAAAATCTTTTATTATTTGTTTCAAGTGCCATTAGATTACATATATGTAGGCCTTTCATATATTGCTTTGTGTACAAAAATGGTAGACTTAATTTTAAACAGGTACATTTTACAGTGTTTTCTTATCAATTTGCTATATTGCACAGAATCCAGTGTGTTTTTTCATGAGGTTTTACAATTTTTAAAACTAGATTTACATGTTTCAAAACACACTGTCTTCCCCGGGTACATTAAAACATATATACACCCATGCCCCAAGCCATTAAAGTTTTTTTTCTAGCCTACTGAAAACCATATGATGTAGTGACTTTGGAGGAGATCTTTTAAACAATTATATTAAATATTCATAATTAGCTATGATAGATTATTATGAATCTATGATAAGTAGATGCCTATATTAACTTTGTTTTTTTCTCATACTCTGTTTCAGCAGCCATCTCTCTACACATTCTACTCCACAGAGAATCTGTTGATTTTTATTTACCTATATAGACTTACATAACATTATGTAGGTTTATCCTGAAGATCCTCAACCCATATACAGCAAGACAGAATAAAACCAACATAGTTAAAGATGTATTTAAATGATTCTTAAGGCCCTTATACAATAAGGTTGTCAATGCTCTATGGTTGGAAGGCAGTGTCTTTTGATAACAGTTATCTAGCCCTAGAAATGACACAGAACTATTGCTAATCATATATAAACACTTTGCAGTATAAGCTTCAGTGGTACAGTTGAACCAGAATGAATGTTTATCTTCTCAGAAACACTCCTGCAATATTGTTCTATTGGATCATGCTGCTAATGTAACTTGGGAAACAACTCCTCATGGTGCTACAAACCTTCCTGTCTCATTCAGATGTATTTTTACCCATAGAAAAAGGACTATATTAGACCTATAGGTGTATGATATATTTTTATACTGTGACTTAATTTGTCATTAACGAACTTTTACAACACCACAATGTATTCATATGCACTTGCAAAAGGAAAATCTTGGACATGCAGACCTTACCAGAACAAGCCCAACTTTTGTTCATAAAATGACTGTTAGTTAAAATGAATATTGGGCTTTTTATATATATATATATATATATATATAGTGTGTGGAGTGAAGAACATACTGTATGTTACTAGAAGCCCTTTGACTTTAAAAGAAACTGGGAAACCATTAGGAAATGGATGATGTCGTACCTGAACATGAGTTGAATTGCTTATAATGTATTGAGGTAGTTTAAAAAAAAAAGTGTTTGGACTTGAACGCTAAAATATTCTAATGATAAAGTTTTGAGTCAAAATAGAAAAAAAACAAAAACCTGCATTCCAGACTGAATTTGTATATGTCTCCTGCATTTAAAATTGCTATCCTGTGATATGGGAAATCAAATTGCTTATCATGTATATGTACTTAAAATGTATTCACAAACTACTGTTGTATTTGTATAAAATATAGACAAAGATTGCATATATATTTTTGTGTATAAGCTCTGTGAAATAGCAATCACATTATGAAGCTGCAGCAGTACTTCATTTTAAACATTCACATCCAAAGAAACAGACTATTTATTTTTCAGATATCCTGATATAAAATATAACTTGCTGCTATTAAACAATAGTGCTGCAGCTTCTCATGGCCTACAGTGTTATGTTTGCTGTACAAAAACAAAAAAAATATGTGAACACCACAAAATATATGAATAAAAATACAGAATGGTTTTAGTTAATGTAGAACCTCTGCCTGAAATCTTAATAGATCATGGTTTTGTTTGGTATCATGAAACAGATGATTGGTATTTTTTTCCCTATTAAATTGGATACTTTTTTCACTTATTTGGAATAAGATTCTAATATTTAGTACCAGGATAGTATTTTGTGGGTGGAAAGGGAAACCTAGCTTATTTTTCATTTATACTTTATAATTTTAAAAGGAAAGCTGAAAAATATAAGTAAAATGAAGCTTCTATACAGAAGCAGTGTGGAATAATAATAAAAAGAAGTACAGAACTTGGCATCAGAAAACTTAAGTTTTAAGCCCAGCTCTTAAATTTACTTTCTGTGGGCAAGGCACTACTACTTACATTATCTATATCTACCTTTAGGTTTGTTGTGAGGAAAAGACAGTTGACAAACCATAAAGCCCTATATAAATATGAAGTGTTAATGTTGTCAGATACCCCTAGTTGAGTCTGAACTTTAAAGCACAAAATTGATATTATTTCTTGCTCATTTGAAGTAGATATTTTATAGCAATTAATATTGAGTTTACATTTGCCAAATATGAATATATGTACCTTTCCCCTGCCCTCCTGCATTTCATTTACTGCTTTCACAAAAAACTCAGGCTCAAGGCATAGAGAAAATCAGTAACTAATTTCAGGATTTTTTTTTTCCATACTTGTATCACTGCATCTTCATCTCTTTAAGTAGGATATGAACTCCTATTTTTTCATCCACCTGCATTTTCTAAAATTTCTATTTTCAGTGGGAGGAAAAGTTTTTAATTGCCAAGGAAGCAAATTTGACTACCTCAAAAAAAAGAACTATGACTGGATTGGATGTTCTTTCATTTCTATTAATCGCTTTATAAAGTGAAGTTTTTAGAAAGTAAATAACCACATTCTGGTTTATCTTTATTAACATCTCAGTAGTTACAATTGGAATAATAGTGTTCTGGTTACGTGAGTACTCTCCTTAATGGAGGGGTTTTACCTCTTATTTCAGAGGTGTTCTATTTTCTGTGTATTGAAAGTTCCCCACCACCATCCCTTTGATTTGTTTACATTTTAATTTCCATAAGTCCTCTTTGCTCTGTAAAGTGAGAGAGAAGACCTAAACAGTTTGAAGGAAAATCACCTGATGACAGATTCAGTTCTATGGATCTTGAAGTTATGGCTAATGTAGCAAAGGTTCTGTTGAGAACTGTGAGATAATTTAAGAGGAAGAGCACCACTCGGGAGTCAAAAGGATTTGGGTCCAAATCCTGCCATGAACTCTACCTGTGTAATCTTGGACATGTCCCTCTACATCCATGGGCCCCAGTTTTCCTGCTCTGTAAGATAGTAGGGAAGAGGGAGTGGCCTTGGTCTCTGAGAAAATTTCCAGCTCTAGATCATGATTCTGTGGACTTTCCCAGGCCTCTGGATAATCATGACATGCTTCTCTTCACAGTTTTCAAAGCATTTTCATGAATATTGTCTTATTTTTGCCTCACTCATTTTGTGAGGTAGGAAGGGCAAGAATTGTTCTAATTTTGTAATGAGGAAACAGCCTCAGTGACATGAAATAATCTGACCAAGATTTCACAGCCAATAAGTGTCAAAGACAGATCTATAACCATGGGTCTTGGGACTCTTAGGTCAGTGTTCCCATGAAGATTTCCCATGGGAATGACTTAATACTAACCAGTCCACAGTTCCCATGCTATACTGGTAAAAGTAGAAGTAGCATGATAACAAAGATCTAATCACCTGGGGATGACAGTAACCAACAGCTTCGGTGTTTTTCCTGGGAGTTTGAAGAGAAAGAGGATGGGAATGAGTGTGTGATGGTAGAAGAAGGAAAGCATGTCCTGTTATGAGGTACTTGTGTGAAAGGCATTTAAGACAGGAGACTGAAGAAGAATCTTTTTAATAGGATGTCTTCAGGACTGGAGACTGTAACTGGCAAATTGCTACTCAAAAGTTTATTTAATTGAAAGAGCAATTGATACAGGCCAATGTGTTCAAGATGTACTGGAGGGCCTTTTGCATCTTAGTTTCTCTGTATTAGTGGGCTATTAACCTACCTAGGGCCCCCTCAAGTCAAGATTTTACCGTACCTAGGCTTTGTCATAACCTGGTTTCATTTTGAGGACTATGATTATCCTATTTTAAGCCCTGCAAAATGACTTCTCAGAGTTTCATGGTTTGGGTTTTTGTTTTTAATTGAAAGCTTTATACAACTTTTGGATTTTGTTGGGTTTTGCAGTGATTATCTGAGAGTTTTAGCAACTATGTGCCACTTCTTGGTAATATAGCTCATAAATCAAGTTTTTCAAGTAGCTTAAATTAGGAGATACATGTGTAGTTTTATTTTAGAATCAAGAAAGATGACACCTAAAACTAATGCCCCAAAGCTTTGAATAGTCATTTGGCTCCTAGCCGTTCTTGTGAAATGACCTCTGATGATCAATTTGCTGCTTCAGTATGTGGTCTAAAATTCTTATTATAAATAGTTTTACACATTATGTTCATTTCCAACTCATTTGCTGCCTGATTAGAGGAAGCTCAAATCTGAGTGTTAATAACTTTAAAACTTTATGGAATTTAACTCTATTGGGACGACACATTCTCTTTCCTTATTTTTTCCTTGTGACAAGCTGAATGGTGACTAAATGATGTAAAATCATAGAATCCTTGTAACTTCCTTCCCATGTGACCCTGGACAATTCACTTCACCTTTTGGGCCTCAGTTTCCTCACCTATAATGTCAGGGTTGGATGAGGTGACCTCTAATGTCCCTTCCAGCTCAAAATATGTGATCATAGGATTGTAATCACAGAAATATTAGGATGCAGAGCCACAATTTGAAACCGTGTTCTCTTACTCTAAATCCAGCACTTATAACCACCCTGAATACAAGAGTTGTCTCTAATTGAAGTCCATTTCTTGTCCAGAAAAACCAGAAACATTTGATTCTGGTTTGAACTGGTTCAAACTTCCGAGTTTGAACTTTGTTGTATATTGTCTGTGACTGAATCTCAAATAGGTTTGTTTTCTATACTTTTTTAGTCTTGAAATTTGACATCACTGACAGCCAAAGCAAACTTAACCCCATTGAAACAGATATAGTGTATGCTCATCTAAAATATCCCAAAACAAGTCAAAAGAAACTGACAAAGTGATTTTTTTCCCCAGACATAATGCTGTAGTTGTGATGCATCCACTACATCTTTTCTCTCTAATTCCCTTTTAGTTGTCCTCTTTTATGTCATATTCAGCTTTTCTTCCTTCTGACTTAGTTGTATGCTGCCTTTTTTTCATATTCTTTAAGTTTTCCCACTCATTTCCCTTGTTTGTTGTACCTTCCTGCAGTAACTTACTGCTGAGATCTCTGCAACATCTTTACTCCTTTGATCATCTGTTGACTGTGGAAAGTAGTACCTATGTATATTCTACCTTTAGGGAAGTGTTGCCCAAGGCAGAACAGAGGTAAATATCATCCATTGGGTTCTAGATGGTTTTGATTTAACTTCCTTCTGAGCTTCTGAAACTAAAAAATCTCTAAGCTAATGTCTTGCTAGTTCAGAAGGCTTGAGGAAACAGGAGATGAGTTAAAGCTGCCAAATTTCATTAATAACTTTTGAATTTGATGTGAAATGTGGTCTTCAGATTATTGTTCAGCTCTTGAAATGTAGTGAAGACCATGACATTTTCCTAATTTTTGTTTGTTTAATCACAATACTTGTTTCAGTTGTGTTCTGGAAGCAGTGAGGTAAGAAGAAATACATTTAGAAAAATGTTTTGAAAGTTCCAGATGCTCACAGACATGAGATGTACAAATGATACATTTCATACTTAGTTACCTGTTCTCTGTAATAATACTTGATATAACAAAAATTGTGAGGCCTTGCTTAAAACATTTGTTTTACTTAATCTTTCTGCATAATGGTCAAATTCTCAAAACAAATGACTTTTCTTCAAAAATGATAGTCACAATGAAATTCCATAGATCATATATGAAGAACCAGTGGAATTATGCTCATTAAGAATTCTGCAATACAGGAGATCCAATATAGGAGCTTGGACAATTCTGCTGTATATTCCGACTATGATAATGGCTGACAAAAACTCATGAGAACAGCTAATTTCATTTTTATTTCCTGAAGATGCATCCTGAATTTCTTCATCTTTTACTGCTAATAAGAGGCTGGGGTAAGTGGTTTTCCCTTTTTCCTTTCCTAAGAATGGTTTTCTTTGTTGCAGTATATCTTAAAAATGAGAGTACCATTTCCCCACCATTTTCTGAAAACAATTACAATGCTAGGAAGAGGAAATAGCTATAAAAATGCAATAATCATCAAACGTT